GGCCTGTGCAAAGCCTCTATCCCAGTGGTGGTAAGAGAACCACCGGGATTGAGGCTTTGTCTGGTGGGCCGCTCCATCTATTGGTGGGGAGCATCACTCTCTCTCTCTCTCTCTCTCTCTCTCTCTCTCTCTCTCTCTCTCTCTCTCTCTCTACCACATTTTGATGCATCATCAAGGTCAAAGAATTCCCCCAGTGCTCTTGAACGGCAACTGGATTACTGACCATATGCTGCTCACCTGTGATAGGAAATTCACAGAGTTTGCTTGTTTTGTTATTATTACACTGAAATATTGTTTTGTTATTTTATGATTTCAGCTCAATGAGCGAGCGATTCACAACCATCATGGCCCAAAACATACAACCACATGCACGGCACGATAGCAGGGACAGTATTCAGAAGGAAATATCAGTTGCCAGGGGAGGAGCGGATATCGAGGCACACCGGCCTAAGCTTATGAAAATTTACAAATTTTTCTGCAAATTTGCTCAAGTGGACGCTGCCAAATCGGAGGACGGTATTGCTCTGGACACAGCAACGCAGGCGAGCAGTAGGAAATCTTTGACATCTTCATTACATGGAGGTAAGAAGATCCCAGAAGCCAGCAGGGTTCCGGTCCGGCCCTCGGGCGACGGAACCAAAACGCCGGCAGACTCGACGGAAATACAAGCAACCCTCCAACGGAAAGGGCCGCAAGAGAATGCCGCAGCCAATGCAGATGTAAGACCCAAGAGCTTTAGACAAGACACTTCCAGAAGCCCCTCTATTTGTGAAGGCAACATATGGATGTGTTTCAACGACCTGCTCAGAATGCTATCACGGCTCGATCTCTACTCTCCTCAACTGACCCCGCAGAAGGTGAGTCACTCACTCATAGCTTGCCAGGACCGGGCCCTGCCCGGGGCAATGGTTATAGTTAAACTATAATAGATCAAACCGTTATGTGCCCGATGATTGAAACGAAATCCAACAAGCATGGCATGCACATGTTCCGATACACGTGTGCAATGGCAAGTGAACTTCGAGAGAGCAATCCACACCAAAACAGATGAGGAAAATACAGAGTGGAAGGCAAGGCTTCGCACACAAATACCCAAAATAGTAAAAAATACTAATAGAATTGAATTGAAATTTGAAAATCGATTCTAATTACCGTCCCTCCTCAATTCAATCAGCAGCACAATTTATTTTTCCCCAAGAATCGAAACCGCGTTATCAACGGGGACCAATTCGACAATCGCGTTATCAATTCGATGACCCCGATCAATTATTTTACAAAGATTCATCGAAGGAACCAGGTCATCGAAGGAACGGGGAGTAGTCTTCTTCCTCCCACTATCCCCAAGCTCAAGCTTTTTTTTTTTTTTTTTTTTTTTTTTTTTTAAACACTCGCGTCGGTGATAGTGGTGCTGATAAGAGCAAACACCACTACCACTCGGGGAGAGGCTCCATCTACTGGTGGGGAGTATCACCTGCTGGAAAACGGGTCCAGCGTCCCATATACAATGTGATACAATGTGATCAGAAGAAACAAGAAGACAAGTCCTGCTGGCATTGATTACCCTGGAAACCAGGGGATTGACCAAGCAGGACACTAGAATACTCTGCCTATCAGAAGACACACATATTGTGGGATTGACTGGGATTGACTGAGCAGGGGCGGGGCAGGGAACCTCTTCACCTCATACACGACGCCAGATATTTACTGCTATTTACTAGCTCCTCTATCCCCTACCAGCTCCCGAGAACTGTCGCCTGCGAACCCAGTCAACCTCCGAACCACTGCATTTCTACCAGCGTCCCATCTACAGAAATTGAGAATGTCTGAAAGCAATAAGAACAGTGGCAGTGAGGACTGTCAGCATTGATTGCCCTGTCACCAGGGGAGTGACTGAGCAGCCTAGAGAGAGTCCTTTTCACCCTCCAATGGGGGAGACCTGTCTACAATGATTACCCTGGCATGCCCGGCGCCAGATATCTACATCTGCATACTAGCCCTCCCTCCCCCACCCGTCCCAGCCTGAACTGTCTCTTCCCAATGCTATGCCTTGAACTCCCGTCCTCAGTCTAGCCCATCCAGTCCGGACCAACCATACAGTTTGAAAAAAAAGAGGGGAGGGGACAGGGAGGTTTTCGCTGAATCGCATGGGGATTACTGTGTCCATCTTAGTCCTATTCCTGAAAAACGAGCCTATCCCATCCCCGATGCTATGCCTTTGAAAACACGTCAGAGGGTGATCAGTTCGTCCTCAGTCTCGCCCATACCAGTCCAGACCAACCAAACAGTTTGAACGGGGGGGGAAGGGATCAGGGAAATCTTCGCTGGTTCGCATGGGGATTGTTGTGTCAATCTGAGTCCATTCATGAAAAACAAGCCTGTAGTCCCTTTCTAGAACCCTCCTCTCTTGTTCTTCCCCGAGGTCATTTTGGCCACCTTTCCAATCAACTTCCCCAATTTCCCCCCCCTTTTCCCCTCCAAGCCAGCTCAGGCTAAAATCCTTAATTTTATGTTGGATATCTTTCAGTGAGTGTAGTGGCTGGATCTGCGCCCTAACTTTCTCCCATTTTGCTGAGATATCGGTTTGGATCTGTTGTTGTATGCTTTCTGTGAACTTTGGGCCGTCCAGCCTTGCTTTTTCCCTTTCGTATGTACAGCGCCATCGCCAGAGGGCCCACAGCACCGCCTTGCGGCTCAGTTTGAACATGTTGCAGGTGAAGTCGTCGAGTTGATCGTAAGGGAAGGCTTCACATAGCATGGCTTTCCAATCCCACGGCCACCGGATCTGGGTTTCTAGTTGCTCCCAGATTCTATCCCACCATCTCCACAGCCATACTGCACCAGGGCACTGAAGGAAAATGAGTTCAATTGTTTCTGGCAATTTCCTGGAGGGAAATGCATCGATGCAGAGCCTACACCAGGGGAGGGCTAGGCCTCTTTGTTCTAAGTTTGTTCTTGCGATCAACCAGTCATTTGTTGGCAGGCACCGGTGCTCAATCTGCCCCATATATCATATACTCTTGTTACACCCCCGCCTGACCCAGCCTTGCCATGGTGAATCCATGCAGTGGAGGGTTTGGCCCTTTGAGTCTTTTATCCATCTACTCCCAAAAAGCGGTTGCCGTGCCACCTCTTCCCATCTTTCTGGTGGTTTTTTGTCTGGCAGGGGTAAACATCTCCAGGTTTGCAGGAGGTCCGGCCAAAAGGGGTCGTTTCGCAGGTCGGCCCTTGCTGCTTGTCTGGGTGAGTCCGGGGAGGGGCGATCATTCCTCGCGCCCCATCTTGGAATGGGCCATTCTTGGTTTTTCAGCCACATCAGCGGATCACTCTCCTCTGTTGTTTGTGGTGCCAGGTGCGCTCCCTCCACGGGGTGTCTTGGTTGGTTGAAAAGGAGGCGTTTGAGCTATTGCAACGCAAGAGCCTTAGTTTGCAACAGGGGATCTATTATGCCCAGCCCACCTTTCGTTCTCGGTTGGGTTACAGCTTGCCAGCCAACCTATTGATCACATTACTCTCCTCGTGATTGCCTCTCCATAGGAAGGCTGCTATCTGGCGCTGCAGGGGACGTAGGGCGTTCTTATCCAGGGCCCAGATGACTGATTTGTACCACAAGGAGGCCAGAATTACGTTGTTTATTATTAGAGAGCGTCCTATCAGTGAAGTATGTTTATTCTTCCATAGTAACATCTTTTCCTGGGGTGGGCCTGAGATCCATTGGTTGTTTGTAGCCAGCCTACCTTCTGCTGACGGTAGCACCCCCAGCACCCTAAGCGGGGCTTCCTTGGGTAGCCATTTGAGTTTGGGTTCTTCTGGAGGCCGCATTCCTTGGTGGTGTATCCACCAGCCCTGAGTTTTATTTCCCCAGTTAACCTTCATATCTGCCAACCTACAGAAGCGGTCCATCATGTGTTGGACTTCCGCCATCAATGCATGGGAGGCCTCAATCATTAGTGTTAGGTTGTCCGCAAACAAAGAGCAGATTGGGATTGCATCCTGCGGTATTGAAGACACTTGTATTCTTTGGATTTCCTTATGCTTCCTTAGGTTGGCTGCCAGAGCTTCCATGACAATGACGAACAAAAACGGGGCTAAGGGGTCCCCTTGCCTGACTGACCTTTGGAGCTTTATAGGTGGGGATAGGTTGTTATTCACCATGACTCTAGTCATTGCATTTGTATGGAGGATCTTCACCCATCGTCTGAAGCACGGAACACAGTTGAATTTTTCCAAACATTTGTCCACATGGTCATATGCTTTTTCAAAGTCAATAAAGATAACTGTTGCATTGCTTTTGGATTGTCTTATTAATTTGATCACTTCGTTTACTAGCAGGACGTTATCCTGGATGTTCCTACCATGAATGAAGCCAGTTTGGTCAGGGTGTATGATATTAGGAAGGACCTGCAACAACCGGTTAGCTAGGACTTTGACCACTAGTTTATATACCAAAGTAAGTAAGGTGATGGGCCTGTAATTCCTAATATTTGTTCTTTCCCCTTTCTTATACAGGAGCGTCAGTACACCCTGGCTCACCATCTCCCCTGTCTGGCCAGTTGCCCATACAACCCAATAATATTCCATGAGGTCTTGCAACATGTCTGTCCACATTACCTCCCAAAATTCTTTGGGCAGCCCGTCTATTCCAGGGGTCTTTTCTTCTTCCTTCTGGAGTAATGTTGTCCATATTTCTTCTTTGGACAGGGGTTTCCCTTTGCTGCTCATTCAGAGTTTTGTCAATTGGTTGCAGGAAATCCTCAATTCCTTCGTGCGGTGTGGTAAGGTACTTGACCACATTCAGAAGTAAAGAGGTCCTGATAAAAATCCCTTGCTATTTTAGTACATGTTGCGGTTGACATGTGTAGGGGGCCCTGGTTGCATTTGGGGTCTTCCAGAGCCTCCATCACTGATCTTCCGGCCTTCACCCTGGCCATTGCGAAGTACCGTGCGTCCATTGCTCCTTCCGTGTTGTGACGAAAGAGTTTTCCCCGTATTCTGACCCCTTGCCATCGGTTTTCCATGTGCCATAGGAGGCAGGCTTCTAGGTTATTTATAGTGTCGTCTATCTCTTCTTGCTGTGTTTTGTTTCCTGCATCTACCTCTTGGTGTTGTAATTGCTGCAACTTATGTTGTAGGTCCACCTCTTCCGCATGACGTTGCTGTGTTTTGTTTCCTGCATCTACCTCTTGATGTTGTAATTGCTGCAACTTATGTTGTAGGTCCACCTCTTCCGCATGACGTTGTCGCACGAGAAGTTTAGAGTATTCGTTGCACTTGCGGCCTAAAAATGCTAGGCCGTTGTTGAACCACATTATTTTGTCGTCTATTTGGTCTCTCTGTTGCTGCCAGAAGGACCTGACATCCTTGAGGTATGCTTTGAAGCGATCAATGGTCAGGAGGGAAGTGTTTAGCTTATAGAACTCCCTACCCTGGTCTGTTTTTTTCCGAAACGAGAGGATGGCGACACACATTGCATGGTCCAGGCCGGGGTACGGGCTTCGCGAGAAGATTTGAGCGATTTGTAGGGCACCTTGTATTTCCTCCGAGATCAGGATTAGATCAATTCGAGATCTCATCGCTTTTTCTGTGCTATTTTTTCGAAAACAAGTGAAACGTCGATCATTTGGAAAGTGTGTTCTGAATGTACCCCAAGCTCAAGCTATGGCGCCACTTCCACTTTCAGCGCCCAATCAGACAAGCCTGCAAACTCCACATACCCTCCTGAATCCAACACATCACTCCGCGCCACTCACCAACAGCTGCAGATGATGTGTCCACTCTGCATCACTCTGCACCACTCACGACGAGGAACAAGAAGAAAGAAAGAATGAAAGAACGAAAGAAAGAAGGAAAGAAAGAAAGAAAGAAAGAAAGAAAGAAAATGTACCCATCATTATTAAACCACCAGTACTTGGCCCAGGTATTGGCCAAGGTATTGGCCATGGAAAAAAAAAAAAAAAAAATAGAAACGTTTCTTGTCGGATGAACTTGGGCACTCCCATAGTGGCGTGTACGTTTCCTAAAATCGTGGCTCGTTCACGGGTACAACTTTAGGAAGTACTGGTGGTTCAAGGGTGCGCTTGTTGGTTATGGTCATTCACCCAGCAAGACACCATGATGGATACACTGACCGTCCTGAATGCAAGTATTGGTTTGAGTCTTTGAGACGTTCCTATGCCAAATGATAGGCTATGGGGAAGAGAGCTGCCTGTCATAAATCTTGAGGAAGAGCATAGTGTATGCCAAATGATAGGCTATGGGGAAGAGTGTACTCTATCACAGATCTTGCTATGCCTGATACTACCCTGAGGCTTGAGCTCAAGCGGTACACAGCTTGCCCCACCTCAACTTCATGCCATCCCATGGACTAAAGGAACATGTGTTAAAGATTGAAGATGCCCCACCTCAACTTCATGCCATCCCATGGACTAAAGGAACATGTGTTAAAGATTGAAGAAAACGATGTGCCCGCCACAAATCATGGACGAATTCCCAAGATTGCCGTTGTTTGAATGTGCCTGGGCGACAGCACACCTGGACACATACCACGGACCCGGTCCTCTAAAACGAGCACATAATGCCACATATATATCTTGACTACCGTCTTCCGCGAAACACAACACACCCTCATTTTGGCCGTACCAGACCGGAAATATAACTTGTACACGCACACTATCACAATCCACCCTCGTTTTGGGTGTACCTGACCGGAAAAATAGCTTCTATACACTCATGACCAGGGGGCGTTACGTTCAGGGGAAGACGGTCGGCATTCCGGTTACTATAATAGTGGCAATCTTGCCCTCCTCACTATTTTCAGATTTGGGTTGATTGGACCAAATTCTGCAACTTACCCCCTCTCGTCCTTTGCAGGTGCTGACACTCACAACAATTACCACCGGAGACAAGGACCTGATGCCGCACGAGCATCCGCATAATTATAAATCCAAAATCATATTCGAGGAGTTTGTGGAGATTCTGGCGCGGATTGGGGTTGTCATCCTTAGCGCCAAGCATAGGGTCCCAGCGTATGCTCTCCTTAAAGGTCCAAATGGAGCTTGGCGTACTTTTGACAGTTTTCTTGAGAAGATATTCTACCCAGCCGTCAAGAGAACGTTTCCAGCGAGACTGTGATCCATCACCATGCACAATCACAGAGTTCGATAACCAGCAATCACTCGCGAGGTACAGCAGGAGCCAGGCGACCTTAAACCGGAATGATGACTGCGAGGTTGGTTTTGTTGGTGGACCGAAATTTCGAGCAATCCAGCCAGCTGCTGAGCTGTTGCATGGGGCGCAGGTGAATTGACAAAATGAGCAAGTTACACCGCCAATACGTTTCAAGTTGGGTCTGAGGGCAAACAGGAAGTGACGGAAAAGTTTTCAAGTTCTCCCTATTTTTTAAGGTAGGAAATCAAAACGCATGTACATATCTTTTTTTTGAATTTCCATAAAGATAATAATAATAGAGTCTGCTGTGCAAGTTAGTTTGCCCTACTCTGTTACCTAAACTCTGAGGTCGACTGTGACCTCAGACCCCCTCTCCTGTTTAACCTCTGACGGCAAACAGGAAGTGACGGACCGAAGTGGCTTTTGAGCAAGTTGCTGAAGCCAGGGAAAAAAAAACAAAAACAAAAAAAAAAACACTCACTTTGAGATGCTGGTCTGCCAACAAATAACCCCTGTCATGTGAATTCAACACTTGCACCGTCAATACGTTTCCCCGCCATTTTTTATTTCTTCTAAGACGCGGCCTGCATGCTGCCTCATCTGGCAGGATTTACGGGGGTGACATTTTGCTGAAAATCCATCCGGCTCCAACACGTAAATGGGAGTCCCTCAACGACCTTATTTTACTACCTGCATGTCCAACGTCCATTTCCACCCTTTCCCTTTCCAACCTATCCCACATACAGGTCTAGGATTGTTCAACGAGCGAGTTGCTTACTTCAAAGACAAAACAACAATTACAAACATCACATCCTAACTTGCTACGACGAGCAAATCACTCAATCTCCGCAATTGTCTGCCCACATCACACCCATCCGAGACTGGATGCCCACATCAAGTGGAGGACCATACAAGATTGTTACAAAATACCCACAAACACAGCATACGCGCCAAAGCGTAGACAGACAACAAGACAAAGGGGGGGCGAGAGAGAGAGAGAGAGAGAGAGAGAGAGAGAGAGAGAGAGAGAGAGAGAGAGAGAGAGAGAGAGAGAGAGAGAGAGAGNAGAGAGAGAGAGAGAGAGAGAGAGAGAGAGAGAGAGAGAGAGAGAGAGAGAGAGAGAGAGTCATCACTCTTTCGTTTTGAGGTTAAAACAATGTGCCCAGTTTTTACAGGCATTGCGCATCATTTCAACAATTGCAGCAAATGCTGCCATTTTCCACAAGCATAGCATATCAGCACTGGCCCACTGCGCCATGAGTCCGTGACCATGCCCACGGCAGGTCAACTTGTGTGTTACCACCACAAAGCATTCGCGCCAGGAGGGCAAAGTTGAAGAGGAAGCTACATTTCACACACACAACGGGCCATCTATAACAAATCCAGAGACAGCAAAAAAAAAAGTCACGCTCACAAAACGAAATGGCAAATGTCACAACCACAAAAAAAAGCATAGGGCTTAATGATTTGCAGGAGGAAGGGGGCAGAGAGTCAGGAACTAGCCCCAAGGGGAATGAACTTAGATGTGCAAATGCTGCAGTACACATGACAGACATACACCTGGACGTGCAGATGTCCAGGTGCATTCTGAATCCATCCTTGTGAACATGAACCGGCGGTTACCGCTCCGCATCCTGCGGCACAAACAGGCTGTATACATGCCAAAAACATTTCACTCCCTTGTCTTCTGGACTGCGAAATCTTATTCAGAGGTCAAGGACTCAGGGGGTCGTCACGACTTCCCGAACGTTTTGCGACAGCCAAGGGCCGGCTCCATCGCAACAACCGACGCGCGGAAGAAACCGCCCGCGTGCATGCACCAAATGGACCACCTGAGAACAATTAGGTCAGACTCCGTCAGAGGTGTACGTTCCAGTGCAGTTCACGCAGAGAGAGAACTTAGATCGAACAGAGGATTGCGACCACCACTTTCTGGAATTCTTGACAACTTACAACTTTCATATCCGAATTACGAAGTACATGCTGTACAGAATGCCAGTTCAAGCAAGCAATCACACTTCAACACTGGCCTTTTCAGAGCCAAACACTGACCGTTAGAACTATGGTTGTGCACTTCCTCACCTGCTCACATCAGGTTTCTATACTTGACATTTTGCAGCAGCACACTCTGTTCTGCTGTTCTGTTCAGGCTCCTTAGCGACATCATCTCCACAAGGAACTCGGTTCAAATGGCAACCACACACCAAATCAACTCAACAATTCTAAACCGAGTAACTACAAATGCACAGGATTCCTCCTCCTCCTCCTCCTCTCTCTCTCTCTCTCTCTCTCTCTCTCTCTCTCACACACACACACACACACACACACACACACACAGACACACACACACACACACGCACGTGTATGGACAAGGTGGAACATCGGAATACATACAGGTCGAACGCATCGTGAACAAACTGGCAAGGATAAATCTCCTCCTCATGCATCAGTGAAAGTCTGATGAAACGGTCTGTCACAGTCATGCTTTCTTGTTTTTGCGGAGTTGTCCTGAGCAACGGTAATGCACTACAAAGGAAAGAGCACTAATCCTGTGGCATTCTTGTGGCCACAAGTAATGCTAGATGGCCAGCTATTTGTCCTCTGGTCACCTCTGTAACTGCACAGAAACAACCATCCTCAGACGAATCACCCTCGCTATCAGATATTAGGCATATCGGGCATTACCTTCCATTCACGCTAACACCGAATACCACCAGGCATTACAGACCCTTCAGATCCACCTTTGACCATCCGCACTCCCAGCGCTCTGCCTCGTCTCTTTGGAGCGTAATCATCCATGGAAATACACAACAGCTGCAACTCTACCTACACCAGCTACCAGATTACTATACGGTCCAGCACCAAGCTGCTGCATTGCATTCCAAAGACCCAAAAGACCCAATACGTCCAAAGAATCACACTTGTCATCTTGGTCGCTTGACCGATGCACGGGAAGATGCCCTCAGCACTGATGCTGGCGACTTTCTCTCCTCGAACCTTGTGACCCCATCTATGACACTCGTACTGCAAAATAGGCGATGTCTATAATATACTCATTAAGGTTGCAATCAATTATCAATCACAGAGAGTAATTTTTTTGTTTCACCTTGAAGTTTCTTTTCTTTTGGGCTACTCCCAAGTTTCTGAGTTCAGGCAGTGCAACTTCCAGAATTCTGGAAAATAAAAATCGAGAAACTGACAGTGCTGGGCAGATGCCTGGGCTGGCGGACTGGGGGGCACCCGCCCAGGATAACCAGGTGGGTCAAAAGCAGGAAAAGTATTAAGAAATCTAGAAATCAGGCTGTCAAAAGCAGGTAGAGTATTCAAAAATTCAGAAATTGGGCTACCCGCGGGGTTGCGCGGATTGCCCATGGCAGGTGCTCCTGCCTGATCAGGACCAGGCAACGTTCAGAACAAACCCAGCTCAAAGGGGGGAAAAAACCCAAAAAAAAAACGAAAAAGACTACGTTACTCTCTCTCTCTCTCTCTCTCTCTCTCTCTCTCTCTCTCTCTCTCTCTCTCTCTCTCTGTGTGTGTGTGTGTGTGTGTGTGTGTGTGTGTGTGAGCTAGGGGGAAAGCTGTCGCATGGAGAGCAATACCATCCCCCTCCCACTTCCCATTTTCCATCTAAGAGAGAGACAGAGAGACAGGGAGAGAGAGACGGATCATTGTGACCAAACAGCTGCTGTTATGCGAGTCGTTTCTGTGCAATGACTTGCTGATTCTGCAGGCTGCGACCCGTTGACCCGAGGCTGTACCATTGGTAGGCTAGATGCGTGATTTTGTTTGGCTGAGGGCTAACCGAGAGCCCTACCTGTAGGGAAAATCCGTGAGGGACGTATCTGCAAATTCGCGAAAATACAGGGCCGCACTAGCCGAAGTTTCCTACAGCTACCCTCACTGTGAATAGCCCGGGCTACACCTAGGACAGAGGCCGTAAAGGGCTATACTGATAGACGGTCCTATAGCCTATAGCCGGGTAGGTAGAGGCCGAGAGGCCAAAATGGAAACGGTACCGGCCGGTCCAGTCAGTCCGGTCTAGGTCGAGTCTAGGCTAGTGTAGTCTATAGATAGACTGTAGACATCGATTCAGGCCTTTTGGCAGTTGGTACCGTGTACATCGCTGCGGTGCAACGCGTGAACTGGGAGCGGTGACAGTTTCATAGCTGGACCTGCGGAGTGTCGGCCATAGCTGGGACCGGCGCTGTACTCTGACAGCACGTGGGGCTGTTCAGAGGTTCAGCCTTTCTGGAGTCTGCTGGAGGCGAGAGAAGTTGGTGCCCTGCTGGACCCTCCTCAGGAGTAGGGTTTCAGTGTGTTGGGGCTGCAGCCATAGCTGCAGCTTTCTTCCTCAGAGAGCATCTTTGTCAGGAGAGGTGGCGCTGCTGCAGACTTCCACACGGAAAGTCATCTGCCACTTCATCATCATCAGACACTGTGGCGCTGGTCTTCTTCTTCATCCTCTGAGTGGCGCTTGGCCTCGGAGGCCTGTTTCAGGGTGGCACTTCCCTCTGGAGGCAGTATCTGGGTGGCGCTTGACGTTTCAGGGACTCAGGGGTAGTTTTAGCGGTTACTCAGGGTTGGACAGTGAAGCGCCGCTCATTTCTGAGCAGCGCACCATGGTTCTGGGGTTCTTCTGACATTTTGAGACTCTGACTTTAATAAACAGTGTATATACTGTGTGTGAACTATCATAGTTTCATTGTTTCCCGGATGTGATCTACTCGGCTTTCCTTTGTGACTGTTTGTGAGGATTCTGTGGAGCGAAGTGCACTTTCAGTGTTCTCTGTCATATCGCATGGTCAAGTCTTCCGCTGTGTTTCTCTCTCCCTATGCGGTGTGATACTCCCATCCTCTCCCCTTCCTTCTGTGTATGTATGGGCATACTTGGAAGTCTATGTGAGTGAGTGTTGGTCTTCTGACAACAAACAACCAGGTTCATAACATCTGTCACCCGGTCCCACTCCGGTCCCATCCATAATTTGCACTGGGTGTATCCGTAGTTTGCACAGACCAGTAGTTGGGTACAAGTCCAATTTGCGCATATCAACCACTGGCCGGAAATGCAGACATTTTTCAGAGCATTCCACGGGTATAATTCATGTAAGACGGGCACTGGGACCCGGTATACACCCAATTGCCATCTTTAATACTAAATAGCTGAGTGGGGAACCGGGCCGCCCGGTTGACAGGCTGCGGTCCGGGGGAGGTCCCGGGCGGCCTGGCCGGGCAGGGCACCCGGTTGGGGGCCGGGGCCCCCCA